CTCCTCTCTCTCTCCCTCTCTTCCTCTCTTTCTCTCGTCGTCTCCGTTCGCGGTTTTAGCACCCTCCTTCGCGAAAGCTCCTGGAAACTCTGTCGGTAACGTTAGGTCGGGTTATATCGAACCCAGGAAACCTCCGGCGAGGAGGAGAACTCGACTTGAACTCCGATGGAACTCCGGACGGAAACTCGGCGTGAACACTCGGCGTGTCGCCGCCAACTAAGTTGGAGAACACCACCCACTAACCTCCGTAAGGATTCCTCGCTCATCTAGGAAGCATCGGTGGCAGCCGGAGAGTCCGACCACCTTACACGCCTCCGTACCTTCAGCTCTGATCCTCCGCCTACCGCTATGAACGTGGGCCAGGCATCCAGCCAGGCCGCAACCATAAGTTACTACTAATGTTGTTCCCGTGTTCCGCGGCCGAATTTGTTGAAGGGGATTTCGGACGGTTAGACAGTTTTGTAAAATTTCCGCGTGATTTTTATCTACTTTTTTTTCACCGCCAAATATAAACATCAACGCAATTTTCGTGTAAATTTTATATTATTTTCCGACTAATCCCATTAGATGAAGTTCTACCTATGGTATATTATAATATTCTGACATCACACTCTTAAATAATCTTAAAAAGTCTCGGAAACTTTTCGGGCTTCAATATAAATTTCAGCTCAACGACGCTGTGAGACCGTGAAAACATATCTTCTTGCGAAGTAGTTCGTCCTTAAGCTTCTAACTTATTTTCTTCTCCTATTTTGAAGGAAGCAGTTCCGTTTCGCGGCCGAACTTCGACATTCCACCACTTCGAACGAGTCTGTCGCGAAAGTTTAATTAGATCCACCTTGAGGCAATTCCAGGCCCTCTTGCCATCGGTCGCCACGGCAGCAAGTTAATGAGTCGATAATAAATTTTATTCAGTTACAAAGATAGTGTCTTTAATGAATCTGAGGAAATATTCAAACTATCGCTTCGTTTGATTACCACAGAATTCGATTAATTTTGCCTCGTAGTTTATAGTTAAAAATTAAATTTCTATTACTCTCTATGTCTCCTTCGGAGAGATCGTTTTCCTTTCTCTCTTACATAATATATCTATATAATTCTGTAGCTGTAATTAAATTTTACGCCTATAAACCTTACGGGAACGAAACAAAACACACTGAAACGCGTTTTCATCTTACATCCAACCATTACCGAAGCAGTGAAGATCCATTCTCGCCGCGAACGGAACATTTTTCTAGCGATTTAGCCGAGTAACGATTAACACACACACGCGCGCGCGCGCTCACGGCTACTTTATTTTCTACCATCCCGCAGCGAATTCGCCTAAGTAAATTACCAGTCACGGGGATAGAGCTGGAAGTCTACCGGCTTCCTGGGCAACGGATTTCGTGTGACGACAAGCGGGGTGGGGGGGGGGGACGGATGCCGGGGGCTGGTGGGTAGCTTTGTGGATTTACACGATACCGAAATACAAGCGGCGAGCCGACCTCGACCGGGGAACTTTATTGCATTACGCCATGCGGCGTTTTTCCTATCGTCGTGCGGTCTCGTTGCACCGTGGGCTCCAAACCTCATCGAATTGACCCTCTGCTTCGGCTTAGTCCGGGACAGAAATAATGTTCCTCGTCCTGCGGTATCCGGGCCTCCGTCGGAGAATCAACGAATTCCCCGGATGACTCTGAAGAGCCGCGCGAGGATTCCCGACGCCGTAAGAACGGCCATTAAGACGGCGATAATAGCCGGCGATAATTCGCCTTTGTTAATTAAAGCGTAACGAGGCGATAGCTCAAAGGTTTCATATAGTGGATCCGACTACGCGATCTTCATCTTTGATCCTCCGCAATGCGACTCATGATTTATTCACAGGAAATTCCCGGGACGCTTTTATAGATTCCGATTTTATCTCGAGATAAATCCGACGCAGATTTCTTTTATCACCGTATGAGACTTGACCAGAGTTAATCGTCACATTTTTCTTTGCATTGTGTTTTTAATATTTAAATATTGTTCAAACATTATACATTTCGTGACGATGTGTGTGCTTTTTTAGTTTACTCATCGTAAAATGCAAAGGCACAAAAGCTCCGTTTAAGTCGTTGAAACAAAATTAAACCTACATATCTAATTTCTTTTCTGACAATAAGATTTAATGTAATTTCGCATAACGGATATTAATACCACGTTATCCGGCGCCGCTTGTATTGCCGCGCAGGAAACTTTCCCATATGAATAACTGGATCTAATCAGATTGGCCTAATCGCATTTCGTTCCGAGACACTCCACCGCGCATCGCAACGATTCTTAACAACTTGTAACTCGCAGGCATAGAAAGGGAAACGGTTTAGCGAGAAGAGTCCTCGCGCACCACCGCGTGCCACCCCTCCGGTTCCCCCTCAAGCCTTTACTCGATCGTGCCTCTCCCGTCTCTCTTCACAGCCTCTCTTCGTGGTCTCTCCCGTCGACGTTGCGCCGTTGCAAAGAGAAGAGCGATTCCTTAATTTCCCATATTGTGGCTCGTCCCAGCTATCCCGGGAAGCCCCGCTGCGTTATAGCGCGGTTTAATCACACTACAAGCGCGCATCCCTCGTTAGCGGAATATCGTGGTGGCTATAATATGAGGCTACATTCCACGCGGCGTGTACATCGTACAAGGTATGCCGTGCAAGACATTTCCAGGATCTTCGCGCGGGATCCCTGCGCTGCCGTTGCGAGATCGATAATAACCTTTCGACGTTTCTTCGTCGGGAAATGAAAAGCAAATCGGCGCCGTTGCGCCGCGCGCGAATTATATAAGTCGGAGAGGTAGCAGAGATCTGCGCGACCGAGGTATTAGACGACCGAATCTCTTTGCGATTTTTTTTTCCATCGAGAACGGCAATTCAATCTCTTTACCGCGAATTGGAAGTTTTGCTGCATCGATTGGTAGCTTGATTTATTTCGCACGGAAACTCAAGTTCAATTACTCTACTTTTTCTTGCATACAGGGTGTCCGACACAAGAGGACCCCTACGAAAAATGGTGGTAGAGCCCGGCCTGTTAGTTAATATAATTTTTGTAAAATATCCAGTAACACTTCGGTAACAGTGCTCATTATATCTAACCGTAATTTCCGCGCTTTTGGAACAGCTTTGAATCCCCACGAAAACATTCATGTCATCCCGAGAATCTCGCGTTACCGATGTCGCTGGATCTGTAGCGATCACGTGCTCGCCGAAGAAGCAACGGGAGCAGATATATTGGAGGGCATTGCGCGCAAAACACACCTAAGGAAACCGAAGAAAGAGACAGAGCTCGAGCGAGGGGGTGGGGGGAGGGGAATTGCAATAATTGTGATTTACGATTTGGTCGCTAGAGCAAAGTAAAGCGCGGAGAGTTCGTTTGAAACGGTGGCGACGTATTTCGCGAGGCAGAAGAACTCGTCGGCGGGACGAGAAGATGAAGAAAAAGGCGAGTGCGGGGGGGGGAGGCAGGAAGCGAGATTGCGGACTTCCTGCTTTTTGACAAATCGCTGATGGAAAATCCAGCGAACCGTGGGAAAACCGCGATATACTAGACCGCCTCTCGCCGGCTGGCCTCCGTGTGTCTGTGAGCAATGGCCCCGGCCGCTGCGAGGCTTAATTGGCGTTCTTTTCCGCGACCTACCGGAACCGATGGCTTAACTGGCAAAGCTCGTACCGTAGGACGGAGGCGACGCACCGAAATCAATTTCTCATCGACATTAAATACACCCAAACTGATATCGGCGCGCCTTACAATGACCTGCCGGATCCTAGAGCGAAATCTTGGTCTTTCGTTATCAACATGCATGTATCTGCGCGTCACATTGTCTAAAGATTACACGCAGGTAATGCGTGGAGCTTGATAGGTCTGCGGCGACAGACTGTATATAATATCGAGGGACGCAGGTTGGGGGAGGGAAATTTTAGCATATGAAAAGCTTAGTCAAGTATTTCAATGGCAGTCGAACCCCGAGTGTCTCGGATCTCAGCGACACTCGTTTATCCGTCTCGCTCTCTCTGTCCTCATCTCGCTCGTGTCGTCAGCTTCGGCTGAGCGTTTACTGGCGTAGAGGGTAGGACGCAATCAGTGCCCTTGATTTATCGTGGCAATATACATTAAGATACCGACATTAAAACTAGGGGAGTCTCCCATGGATTCCGAGGCTCCATTACCGCTTAGGACAGGAGAGCTGTCGTCACATTGCATCGAAACGCTTGGACGAGATTGAATTCTCAGCTGCACTTGATACGTCCGATATTTTCCTGAGATTAACGGTGATCGGTTATTTGCGTGCAATCGCATCAGTCTTTTCTCGCTCATCAGCCATCGCGAAAACCGCAGAAATTTAATCACGTTGACTGTCGATACATTATTGACGTGGGTTTACAGATCGCGAAAAGAGAATTGTAACCATCGAGAATATCAAATTTCTAATCAATAATTCGAAATGTTAATAAATAAAGTACAAAATAAAAGGCACTATATGTACGCACACACACGACACATACATACACGTACACGCACACATATCGACGCCACCAATGTCACGAGCGAATTATGAACATTATTAAATTATAAATAATATTAAGTTTTGCATATCTCACAAAGATATTTTTATCATTTAATGTTTCTGAACTGTTAACATTTGTTTAAAAAAATTGTATCAGAGGAAGCAAATTCTTTTTGTTTCTTTCTTCAATGCGCCAAGCAAAAATACGAGTCGAAAGAATTCGCTGAGGAAGCTAAGAATATCCAGAGAGAAGTTTTCTGAAATTATCCGAGATACGATCGTGACTTTGGTGAATCGCATCACACAGCTCGCCGTGCGATATGTGCTCCTCTCGATCTCCCTCGTCCTATCTCTTTGAGATGAGGAGACCGAGTATCGAGTGGGCATCGAGGTCTCGAGTTCCTCGAGAACTTTGGAAGGGGTCACGGCGAGCTTGTCCAGTACCCGCCTGCCAATTACGGAACAGAGATCTAACCGTAGTAATGTGTAGTGTTTCCACCATTGTCCGCAGGACCAAGCGGGGCATACAGTCCGGATGCGACGATGGGCTACATGATGGACGGACAGACCAGCATGATGCACCGACCGCCCGGCGATCCTACCTTTCACAATCAGTACCATTACCCAGAATACTACGGACATCACTTATAAAGGTTCGTGTATGTTGTACTGATGTTAATTTCTATTATCATCGATATTTCTTTTATCAAATCTACATCGGATTACGATGTATTTATATTTATGAGTTAGTCTTTATATATATTTCTTTACCTCGTTACAACTCCGAGTTAAGCTTCCCATTTCATTGCAATGGAAAGTTTTATGGGAAGGCATTAACCTCCTTGTTCTACTCTGGAAAACGGCATTTGATTTTTTAAACCTATTTATTGTTATTACTGTTCGGAGATTTATGTCCTCTAAAGGATTATGTGATAACGGTTATCTTATGTTACTTTCGAATTGAATTTAATGTTTCGCAGACCTCGTTTTTATCAGAGTCATCGTTTTCCACTCTAAATTGGTAGTATCGTATATAGGGGCTGGCAATTTGGATTTTTTGCTTCAATTGCGACTGTTCTAATACTGAGCAATTAACTTCTTAATTGATTCAAAATATCAGCTAATTTTATAAAGTCACAAATGAAATAGATTATTAACTATACAGAAATTTTTGTACGCATGATATATATTTTTATTTTGTATCTTCGCGTTAGACTGAGGATCGCCAACCTCGGATGTTTCAGGAGTACTTGCAAGAATGGAATGGAACGGATGATGAAATGACACGAGTTCTAGCAACACGAAAAGCGTGACGGACCTATCGTGCTCAGTTAGCGTAGATCAGAATCCGAGGACAGCGATGATCCGTGATCCCTCCAGGATGATCATCATGGTAGTCCCGGTGATTTCTTACTGCGCCGCACGTCGAAATCCGTAACACTTGGGTGCTTGGCAACGAGGAAAACGACACGAGGAAAGGGAAAGGGCGAAGGAGCAAAGTTCCCGTCTCAATGGGAAAGGACAAAGCAGATGAAACGCCGCAAGAGGCCGACGAGAAGAAGATCATGGAATTGTCGAAGGAAGAAGGACGGATACGAGACGGAGCGAAGTGGCTGCGGAAACGATGGGAGGAAGGAACGACACGAAGGGGAATGAAGCCGCGGCTTGGTCTCGAGGGTGACGCGGCCGCGAAGAAATTCATGTGATTGTTCTTTGTACAAATATTGCGGTGTAATATTGTAGTGATTGAAGAATTTAAATGTTAAATTTTAATACGGTCGCGATCGAGATATATTAATGAAATATAAGTGATATATAGGCAATTTAGCGGGCATGTACATTAAAAAAGAAGAGGCAAATACACCCGGTGCTCGCACGGAATGTAGAGTATGTTCAAGTGCACAGACGACGCAAGAGAGGTACAAGAAAGAGAGTACGAGAGACATACGAGAAAAAAAAATCGAAGTGGCAGTATATATATATGTATGTATATACATATATATATTATAAATAAATATAAATAGTAAGACAGAGGATGAAAAGAGAAAGAAAATTATTAGATGGCACAGGAGATGTTTAAAGGTATATAAAAGCAAACGGACGCAATTACAGAAGAGAATTAGGTCGAATGACATCGACGCGTGTGCCGGACTCGAGCGTCGACCATTCAATTGCATATATATATAGGAAACATTAAAATTTGTACAGTTATTAATTATAAATGAATTTACTAATTAAAGGAAAAATATATTATATATATATATAAAAATATATATATATATAAATATATATACATAACGGAGAGTACGAAGAACGTGTGGCCCCGGTTGTAATATAAGTCGAGCGTTGTAGTTGGACTGGGATGATTATCGTACATTACCGACGCGTATTAGACACGAGAAAATTTCCGCGCAAATCGAGAGAGGAGAGCGGCAGATGCGAGATGGCGCGAGTGAGAGAATACACGAATAAACGTACTGAGGGATTTTAGATATTAATAAAAACAGAGATATAGATATCAGTGAAAAAAGGAGAGAGCAAGAGCGAGAGAGAGTGTGTGAAAGCGAGAGCGAGAAAGAGAGAGAGTGAAAGCGCGCGCGAAAGAGAGAGAGAGAGAGAGAGAGAGAGAGAGAG